GACGCCGCCTCTCCTGGTGGGAGGGGATGATGGGGGGAGGGGGTTGAGGGGTGGAGTGCAGAACATTTCAGGAAAAAGACAGACATATAGTTGTGCATGTGTGTGTGTTTTTGATACTCTAACTGAAAACTTTAATGCACAGGCTTGTGGTATAGTGTATGCCATGTAGTTGTAAGGTTTGTAATAAGTAAAGAAGAGGTATAACCCCAATTCTAATGAAGTTAGGACCCTGTGTAAATAACAAATGAATGATATCATTTGAAAATCCCATATTAAAAATAGTACAAAGACAACATATCAAATGTTGAAACAGAAATTTTATTGTGTTTTGAAAAAAACTTTTCATTTGAAATTTGATGCCGGCAACAAATTTCAAAAATGTGCCATGTTTACTGTACCACTGTGCTGCATCACCTCTTCTTCTAACAACACTCTCCTATTTCTGTGTTCACACAGGATTCGAGCTACTCAACAATCTGGGGCCTCCTTAGTCATATTCCTCACTTTACAATGCCCCAAATGTTTTCAGTGGGTGACAGGTCTGGACTGCAGTCAGGCTAGTTCACTGAGCCAGCCAAAACTTTAATATATCATTTAAAATTACTAGTGCCTTCACAGATATGCAGGTTAACCATGCCGTGTGCACTATTGCACGCCCATACCATCACAGATACTGGCTTTCGAACTGTGCACAGAAAACAAACCGAGGAATCTCTCTCGTCTTTAGTCTGGAGGATGCAAAGCTCATGATTTCAGAAAATACACTGCTCAAAAAAATTAAGGGAACGCTTAAATCAGACATGGGATCTTGATGAACAATTTATTCAAGTTGAAAACCTTTATTAATGAACACTGTATAATTTGTTCATAACAAAATGGCATACAGTAGGGCAAATAAGTATTTGATATATAATAATAATATTAATAAACTTTATTTATAAAGCACTTTTCAACTCCGAAGAGCACAAAGTGCTGCAGAGTGGGACATATATATCAACTAACAAATACTAAAACAATCAATACCAAACACAGGTTAGAAAATCAATAAGACAGCAAACGAGCGGTCGCCCCATTTTTTAGATGGGGCCCATGGAACAAAGGACAAGTGCTCAGCGGAGCGCAGTGTTCGGCGCGGGGTGTATATTGACAACAGCTCTGATAGGTATGGTGGGGTGAGGCCATATATGGCCTTAAAGACAAATAACATCTTAAAATCAACTCTCCATTTTACTGGCAACCAATGTAGTGAAAAAGAACTGGAGTAATGTGGGCATACCTGGGAGTGTTCGACAGCAACCGAGCAGCCGCGTTTTGTACCAGCTGAAGTCTTTGTAGCACATCTTGGGACACACCAACATAAAGGGTGTTGTTGTGCACACAGCATGGTTAACTTGCATATCTGTGAAAGCACTAGTAATTTTAAATGATATAAAGGGCGATACACTGTTGATTGTTCAACTTTTCCCACTTACGAAGAATGGACAGTTCTGTAATTTTCATCGTAGGTACACCTTAACTGTGAGAGACAGAATCTACAAAAAAATTCCAGCAAATCACATTGTTAGATTTTTAAATAATTTATT